ATCAGACCAATGAGGGTCCATCCAGTCCAGCATCCCGTCTCACACAGTGGCCAACCAGATCCTCTGGAGGACCAACAACAGGGCAGAGAGGCCGAGGCCTTCCCCTGATTAGAACATACGAAGAGCCCTGCCGGGTCGGACCAGTGAGGGTCCATCCAGTCCAGCATCCCGTCTCACACAGGGGCCAACCGGTTCCTCTGGAGGGCCAAAAACAAGGCACAGAGGCCAAGGCCTTCATAAGAACATCAGAAGAGCCCTGCTGGATCAGACCAGTGAGGGTCCATCCAGTCCAGCATCCCATCTCACACAGTGGCCAACCAGATCCTCTGGAGGGCTAACAACAGGGCAGAGAGGCCGAGGCCTTCCCCTGATTAGAACGAAGAGCCCTGCCGGGTCAGACCAGTGAGGGTCCATCTAGTCCAGCATCCCGTCTCACACGGGCCAACCGGTTCCTCTGGAGGGCCAACAACAAGGCACAGAGGCCAAGGCCTTCATAAGAACATACAAAGAGCCCTGCTGGATCAGACCAGTGAGGGTCCATCTAGTCCAGCATCCTGTCTCACACAGTGGCCAACCAGTTCCTCTGAAGGGCCAACAACAGGGCAGAGAGGCCGAGGCCTTCCCCTGATTAGAACATATGAAGAGCCCTGCTGGGTCGGACCAGTGAGGGTCCATCCAGTCCAGCATCCTGTCTCACACAGTGGCCAACCGGTTCCTCTGGAGGGCCAACAACAGGGCATACAGCCTGAGGCCTTCCCCTGATGCTGCCTCCTGGCACTGGGACTCAGAGGTTAAGAACAGCCCTGCTGGACCAGACCAGGAGTCCATCTAGTCCAGCATCCTGTCTCACACAGTGGCCAGCCAGTTCCTCTGAATGGCCAACAACAGGGCACAGAGGCCGCGGCCTTCCCCTGATGTTTCCTCTGGACGCGGAGACAGATCAAGATGGACATGGAGGTTCCCTTTAGAAGAAGAGCAGTTGGTTTTATACCTCGCCCTTCCCTACCAAAAGGAGTTTTGGAGCGGCTTACAATTGCCTTCCCTTCCTCTCCCCGCAACAGACAACCAGTGAGGTAGGTGGGGCTGAGAGAGCTCCTGAGAGGACTGTGACTGGCCCAAGGTCACCCAGCTGGCTTCATGTGGAGGAGTGGGGAATCAAACCCAGTTCTCCCAGAGAGTCCACTGCTCTTAACACCGCTACACCAAACTGGCTCTCCGTGGCTAGCAGCCACTGATAGACCTCTATGACAGAGGCCCTGAACATTATATTGTGAAGGAAGGAAGAAACACTATACACCCAGTCCTTTCAGAATCCACCAACATGGTCATAGTAAACCAGTTAGCTTCTAAGGTGCCACAGTGCTTTTGTGTGTGTGTTTGGGGGGGGGGGGGTTCAAACCAGAAACTGATTACAGCAAGCACAGGACATTCTGTCTTCTATCTCTGTGTTAGTTTGGTCCCCTTAAGCAAAAGGCCTCTGTTCCTACAAGTTCTTATCACCCCTGTTGGTACACGGCTATCAGTAGAAAAATGCAGACTCCAAATCGTTACTGATACAAATTAAAGAGTTTATTGGAAGGCATTACCGCACAGTACAATACACAAGCAAATGGCAAACCGAGAGCCAGTTTGGTGTAGTAGTTAAGTGCACGGGCTCTAATCTGGGAGAACCGGGTTTGATTCTCCACTCCTCACCTTACAGCTGCTGGATGACCTCGGGCAAGCCGTAGTTCTGTCAGAGCTGTCGTTGAAAAAAAGCAGTTTCTGTCAGAGCTCTCTCAGCCCCACCTACCTCACAGGGTGTCTGTTGTGGGGAGGGGAAGGGAAAGGAGACTGTAAGCCGCTCTGAGACTCCTTTGGGTAGTGAAGGGTGGGGTATAAATCCAATCTTTTCTCTCTTCTTCTTCAAACTGGAAACTGAATCAGATCATGCCTGATATAGCAACACCTGTGAAAAGGCATGGCTACAAAACCATTAGTAAGATGCAGATGGTTACAGAACATAATATAAGCAGGCACTGGCGAAGCATGAGTAAATAAAGTACCATTTTAAATCAGTTCTGAACCAATAGAGGACACACTAGAAGTGGCAAAGATGAACCACAAACCACTAAAACCTGTAAATACACTGCAGAGAACAGAAGTTGGGAGTTGGAGTCTGCCTCTTCCTGTTGACAGTCCTGTACCCATTGCTGAGATAAGAACCGGTCTCCTGCTTAAGGGGACCGAAATAACACTCTGCTGCGCAGTAGTACCATCACTACAAAAGGCCAGAGGATGTGGGGAATCAGGTAACCTGAGGAGCCAATAGAGACCCGTCTAGCTGTATATAACTCCTCACTTTAGTCTGGCCAAACTGGCGCTCCAGAGCCGCATATGGCTCTTTCACACATATTATGCGGCTCCCGACAGGGTGGCTGGGGAAGCTAAATATCATTAGCAAACAAAAATCATTGGACAAATAAATATCATCAATATCTGCTTTCACCCCTTTTGTTATTATTTTTGGCAGTCTCGTTTAATGTTAATAAAAAGCAAATTTGCATATTTGCCAATAAAAATATGTAATATCTGTTTATATCTTGTGGCTCTCAAACATCTGATGGTTATTCTATGTGGCTCTTACCTTCAGCACATTTAGCCACCTCTGTTCTAGCTCATGCAGGGCTCTTTTTGTAGATAAAGCCCAGCAGGAACTCATTAGCATAATAGGCCACACCCAACATCAGAAACTCATTAGCATATTAGGCCACACCCCTGATAGCACAGCTCATTGGCATATTAGGCCACACACCCCCATGTTACCAGAAGTGTGGTCATCCAGCCACACCCATCTTTTGCTTCTTACTCTGTTTACTTTGTTGTCAAAACCCTGGGCTTTTTTTTGTAGCAGGGACTCCTTTGCATATTAGGCCACACACCCCTAATGTAGCCAATTCTAATGAGTTTCTGATGTTGGGTGTGGCCTATTATGCGAATGAGTTTCTGCTAGGCATGGCCAACTTGGAAGCCAGCCGGAACTCCGTTCCTGTGCGTTCCTGCCCAAAAATAGCCCTGAGCTCATGAATCTCAGCAAGAGGCCCAGATATTCAGGGAGTGATGCCATGGGCCAGGACAATAGTTTTATTACTTCAGTCACTCAGTCAATTGCATGGTTAAGTTTTGGATTGACATTACACTGTTCCACCAGACCCCCTTGCTGTCTGAAAGCAGGGCCTTCCTTTCATTAGCACCCTGATTGTGGGACACACAGCCCCAACTTTTCTAAGTCAAGGTAATTTTGACCCAGGGAGTCTCGAGTGTGCTCCAGTTTCCTAAAAGCCTCTCTGATGTGGCTGCTGCTATTGTTATTATCTTTGTTTACAAAGTACTGTACTAAAGCAAGATCTTTCCGAGCCTCATTGGAGAAGCAGAATGCACACTGTACTTTTAAATGTTATCACTGTAATTAGGATTCTTAGCATATTGATTTGCAGTATTGCATTTTTAACCTTAAATGTTTATTGTGTTTCATATTTGCTGGCTGTTGACTAATCAAGCAAGCAAGCAAGCTTTAGGTTGCAATTCTAAGTGCACTCAGCTGGGAGCAATGCTCCCTCTAAGCTGTGGAGTCTTGTGAGCAAAAATTTTACTTTGTGGGCTACTGGCGTTAAAAGTTGTGAGCAAGCGATTTGGCGACTGCACAAATTAGTTTGCTCTGGAGCCACCCTTCCTGAGCTAAGAAAAAAACGTGTGAGCTACAAGCTAAAAAATTGTGAGCCGACTCACACTAACTCAGTTTAGAAGGACCACTGCCTGGGAGTAAGTCCCACTGAACAAAGTTCTCTGCTTCCTTTGCCACTGGCAGGTCAGCATGCCTTGCATCTGTGTTACAGGCAGAGATTGAACAGGTGAAGTCCACCACCACCACCCCGATCTGGCAATAGAAGTGGTGTTTGTCGAATCATTCCGGTGAGGTAGCCTTGTTGGTCTGAAGCAACAGAACAAAGTCTGTTGGTCTTAAAGATGCCACTGGACTCAAACTGTGGTCAAATCATTATCCTTCAGTGCCACTTTTAAAGAAGAAGAGATTGGATTTATACCCCGCCCTTCACTACCCCAAGGAGTCTCAGAAGAGCTTACAGACTCCTTTCCTTTCCCCCCCCCTCTCCTCTCCTCCCCGCCCCACACCACACCACCCTACCCCACCCCACCACAGACACCCTGTGAGGTAGGAGGGGCTGAGAGAGCTCTGACAGGAACTGCTCTTTTTCAAGGACAGCTGTGCCAGAGCTTGTGACTGAGCCAAGGTCACATCAGCAGCTGCGAAGTGAGGAGTGGGAAATCAAATCCGGTTCTCCCAGATTAGAGTCCACGCACTTAACCGCTACACCAAACTGGCTCTCACGGGACCCCAGCCAGAACTCCATCAGATGGATGCTGTTTCCCCCAGCCTCGGCACACCAGTATAGGGAAAGCTACACCGGTTGGATTTCTGCCCTCCAAGCAGCTATTAGAGGCCCCAAGAAGAGCCTGCAAAGATAAAAGCAGGCGGCCTTACAGCTAAGCCATCGCCCTGCAATGAAAGAAAATCGGGAGTGATCCCGGTCTACCCGCGCCGGCTACTGTTCTGGCTGTTACATGGAGCTTCAGTGTCCGAGGGCAGTCTAATCCCTGCGGCGGTTTCTTGGCGGCGAAACCGTTGAAAGTTCCCAGCTTCGGCTCCGTACTTCAAGGTCTTAGGGAGAGGGTGCCGTGCCGGGCTGGGTGATCCCTCGCCTGAGCCAACAGCGCCGCTCTTGCACCGCCGCGCAGAGTCTTCCCACGTGGGGCTCCCCAAAGGCGCTCCGGCGGCGCGTAAAAGCGCCCGCGGCGGAGGCGAGGCGCGCCGGCGCCTGCCTGCCGACTTTCTCGGGACGGCCTCGGGGGCGGGCCCGAGGGGCAGGAGTGGCCGGGAAGGGGAGCTTCCGAGCGGGCCGCATCCGGTCTTGGCCCGGCCCCGGGGGGAGGCGCTCCGCGTGAGTCGGCCGGAGCGCAGCGAGCTGGAGTGTGCCGCACCGACCGAGCAGCCGGGCGCCATGGGGGGGTGGTGAGCGAGGCGGCGCAGCGGGGGCCCTGCGGGAGGCAGCCAGCCAGCCGGCGGGACCGCGACGCCGCGGAGGAGAAGGCAGCAAGCGCCGGCCACCCCGGTCGGTCCCTGGGCGCGCCTGGCCCCCCTGCTTCCCGCCGCCGCCGCCCGCCCGCCCGCCGGAGCCCATGAGCCTCAACGAGCACTCCATGCAGGCGCTGTCCTGGCGGAAGCTCTACCTCAGCCGGGCCAAGCTGAAAGCCTCCAGCCGCACCTCGGCGCTGCTGTCCGGCTTCGCCATGGTGAGCGCCCCCCGGCCCCTTTCCCGGACTGCCGGCGGGGAAACCCCACTCCCACCCCAGAGGGAACCCCCCCTTCCTCCCCCCCCCTCCCCGGGCTGGCTAGGACGTCGGATCCCCTGATCTCTCCCCCGCCCACATTGCCCTGTAATGCCGGCCTACCTCACAGGAGTGTTGTGAAGTCTCCTGCGGAGATGGCCGCGCAGAGCCGCCGGCGTACAGGCGAGCGGACAAGTTCGGTTTGCGCTGCAGGAAGTGCAGGGGTGGGAGGAAGGAGCCGTCGTGTGGACGCGGACGACTCTCTGGTTCTGTGTCAGCCTGTTGTCAGGGTTTGGTCCTGGTTTTACCTGGAGCAGATGCGAGTGGGCTTGGTTCTTTGGGGCGCCACTCAGGCTGGTAGCCAGGATTTGGGGCCTTTAAATAAGTCAGGGGGCACCCCGCACAGACACCCCCACCCAGGGAGCGCCACGAATTCAAAATTGGAAATCGGAGGGGAGGGGTCGGGGCTGGATGGGAAGTCAGGGGGCCTTGGCAGTAATGCCCCCCTGTGGCTACGGGCCTGGTGCCACTTGGAGAGCATTTAAGCCACAGTCCTAGTAGGAACACACACACACACACACGCTTCATTCGGATAAGTAAATTGCTGCCGTTCAAGGGGGTGGTACATCCTTCTTTCCTCCTCTGCTTTATTCTTCCAGTGACCTTTTGAGGTGGGTTTGGTAGGGGGCTCGGAACATCAAGGTGGGGCTTGGAGCCGCCACCACCCCGAATCAGAACTGAGCGCTAGAGGTTGAAGAGCTGTTCCCCGGGAGGGAGGAAAGGGCAAATCCCGCTGCTGTCCAGAAATCTCTAGGAATTTCCCATGCCTCAGATGGCAAGCCTGGTTCGGCGAGAGAGCGCTTGACTGGAGTTCACCCATTCACAGTGCCACGCTGACGTTTTCTCACCCTGCCCTCTGCAGGCGCCCCACCCATCGGAACAACGGGCATTTAGTTCAAAACAAGAATAAGTGCTCGGCGGCACTGTTCCTAATTGCTCAATGTACTTGGCTGGCACAGTGCGTTGTGTTGCTTTGCGCTGTGTGTGCAGTGCGGCGCATGGCTAGCAGGACTCTATAAATGTTAACGAGGCCAGGTCGGGATTTGTCATTTACGGACTTCGTTTGTACCCCACTTTCTCCCCGAGAGAGCCAATTTGGTGTAGTGGTTAAGAACGACAGACTCTAATGTAGAGAACCGGGTTTGTTTCCCCACTTCACCACATGCAGCCAGCTGGGTGGCCTTGGGCCAGTCACAGTTCTCTCAGAGCTGTTCTCTCAAGAGCAGTTCTCCAAAGAGCTCTCTCGGCCCCACCTACCTCACAGGGTGCCTGTTGTGGGGAGGGGAAGGGAAAGGAGATTGTAAACTGCTCTGAGACTCCCAAGTGAAGGGTAGAGTAAATCCAACTCTTCTTCTTCCCCAGTGTGTACCCAAAGCAGCTTATGTCAGTCTTTTCTCCATGCAATCCTCCATTTAAAGATATTATAGCATTGGAAAATGCAGAAAAGGGCAACTAAAATGATTAAGGGGACGGAACACCTTCCCTATGAAGAAAGGTGAAGGAGATCAAGGCTCTTTAGCTTGGACAGGTGACGCGATAGAAGTTTACGAAATTATGCGTGGGATAGAGAAGGCAGAGAAAGAAGTACTTTTCTCCCTTTCTCACACTACAAGAACTTGTGGGCGCTCAATGAAATTGAGGAGCAGTAAGCTTAGAACCGATACAAGGAAGTACATCACCCAAAGAGTAATTAACACATGGAATCCACTGCCGCAAGAAGTGTGGGTGGCTACAGGCATAGAAGAGTTAGACGCCTCTCCTGTTCCTGCATAATTCACTTCGGAGCCACCCGTAGGAGAATGAGGTGGCTGAATTGACTGAATTGCTTGACTCTGCGGTTGGTGGGTCAGATTTTGGAAAGCCCCCCCCCCCCCCAAAAAAGCAAGAATTACAAGCGAAAGGGTGAAGTAAGTTGTCTCCCCCCTGTGCTAGATTTCTGCTTGCAGGGAGATCTGGGCAAAGGAACAGAGCTAGAAAACCACCCCTTGCAGTCTGCACTGGTGCCATCTGCCACTTCATTCACCTGCATGTGTGCCTGAGGCTTTACTGAGTTTCCAACAGACTGCTGGTCACGTGTCAGCTCAGAACACACGAGCACATGACGGGGCCTTATACCGAATCAGACCCTTGGTGCGTGAAGGCCTGTATTGTCTACTCAGACCGGCAGTGGCTCTCCAGGGTCTCAAGCAGAGGTCTTTCACCTCCCCTACTGCCTGGACCTTTCAACAGGAGATGCTGGGGGTTGAACCTGGGACCCTCCGCATTCCAGGCAGATGCTCACCCACTAAGCCACAGCCCCTCCCTGCAGGGGACCAGGCAGAGAAGTGTGTTGTCCAGGGCTTTTTTTGTAGAAAAAGCCCAGCAGGAACGTATTTACATAATAGGCCATGCCCAACAGCAGGAACTCATTAGCATATTAGGCCACACCCTGACAGCACAGCTCATTCACATATTAGGCCACACCCCCATGTTACCAGAAGTGTGGGCATCCAGCCACACCCACCTATTGCTTCTTATTCTCTTTACCTTGTTTGTTGTCAAAACCCAGGGCTTTTTGCATGTTAGGCCACACACCCCTAATGTAGCCAATCCTGATGAGTTTCTGCTGTTGGGTGTGGCCGATTATGCTAATGAGTTCCTGCTGGGCGTGGCCAACTTGGGAGCTAGCTGGAACTCCGTTCCTGTGCGTTCCTGCCCAAAAATAGCCCTGGTGTTGTCAGTTAGAAGACTAGGCCATTGAGGTGTCCCAGAACGCCTAGCAGGGGTGTCTGCGGGCCAGACTGTAACTGCCAAATGGCACCGCAGCCGGGCCTGAATGGGAACACCGCTGGGAAGGTGGGGTGGAGCCATCCTCCCCTTTCTCTGAAGGGCGTCTGTCCTCTCCCGTCGTGTCACACCCCCTGGCATCTGTGCTCCGAGGTTGTGCCTCGCTAGGCTGTTTCCGCATCTTCCCAAGCTGATCGCAGTGCCACAGTTTTTGCAACAATCGTCGCCACTCGCAGATCGTCACCTTTTAGGACATGAACGCTTCTACCCAGAATAGAACTTTGCTGTTCTTAAAGGTGCCGCTGGACTCCAGTTTCGTTCTGCTGCTTCGACATAGCGACCCACCGGTTCCTACCATCTTTTTGGAGTTATTGATACGTTCTGCTCAGAATCTCGGGCGTGCGGGATCAGCTGGGCCGGTTCTCTGACCAGCCCACACAAGCGACTGCTTGGGGGACACAGTCGGGAGGGCTCCGGTACTACTCGGGCTGGGTTTGGTCTCAGCGTTCGGTGGCAGGGCAGGGGACTGGCGTCCTCGCTTGGCCTTGCGCCACCCCGACCGGATCCAAACCGAGACAGTGATGATGATGATGCAGACCCAGGAGAGAAGGGAGGTATTTGCTAAAGGTGACAAAACACTTGGAACCACGGCGCCGGCCTATTGTAGGGTAGTTTTAGAAGAGGAGGAGGAGGAAAAGATTGGATTTATACCCTGCCCTTCACTACACGAAGGAGTCTCAGAGTGGCTTACAGTTTCCTTTCCCTTCCTCCTCCCCATAACAGACACCCCGGGACGCAATGTTCCCTCTAAGCTATGGAGTCCTGTGAGCAAAAATTCTACTTTGCGAGCTACTGCCATTCAAGTTGCGAGCGAGCGATTTGGCTGCTGCACAAATTAGTTGGCTCTGGAGCCATCCTGCCTGAGCGAAGACAACAGTGTGTGAGCGGGAGGCTAAAAAACTGCGAGCTAGCTCACACTAACTCAGCTTAGAGGGAACACTGCCTGGGAGGTAGGTCGGGCTGAGAGAGCTCTTTCGAGGACTGCTCGTGAGAGAACAGCTCTGAGAGAACTTGTGACTGACCCAAGGTCACACCAGCAGCTGCAAGTGGAGGAGTGGTGAATCAAACCCGGTTCTCCCAGGCTAGAGTCCGCGGTCCTAACCACCACACCAAACTGGCAGCCATGTGGGTCTGCAGCAGAACAGGTAAATTTGAGTCCAGGAACACCTCACAGGCCCACAAGACTTTGGATGTGTGAGCTTTCGAGTCGGAATGGAGAGATCTTGCATTCCAACTCACATCTTGAAATCTTGTTGGTCTCAAAGGTGCCACTGGACTCCAGTCTAACCTACCATAAGGACTGGGATTTCCCATGCGGACCTGCAGAGGTCTCTCTCAACAGGCCTCTGCCCCCCAAGGGGGGTGGGGCCAGAAGCATGCAAGAAAGGCAGCCTGGTGGTTGGTGGGGTTCGTCTAGGCCCCTCTTTCCTAACATTCTGCAAGCGGAGATCTCAAAGACGGCTCTGGGAGTCTGCGGCCCAGGGACCGAGGCCGTACTTGCGTTTTTATGCTTTCGCGGTTTTTCTGGCTCCATTATTGCCGTTTTTCTCGTGGTGCCGTGGTCTGTTTTCGTTGCGGACTCCCCAGGGGGCACGATACAGGACTGACGGGCAAAACAGAAGGGTTTTAGTAAAGAATAGTGTGTGTTTTTCAGTTGGCAGCTCTTTAACAGGCCGTGTTTCTTTGGTTACGGCTGGTCCGTACGTAGCGAAGAAGAGCAGGATGACGAAGCCGGCACTGGACGTTCTTTTGCAGAATGGGAGCTTGTGGTGGGGCCAGACCGTGGGCGATAGAGGCGGTTCTGGTAGAGATCACGAGAGGTGCACATCCCCCCCCCTTTTCCAGATCTCTGCAGTGTACAAAATGAGCCGCTGAGAGCGGTGGTTCTCAGCAGGGGTCATTTCCTGTAGGAGCGCACAGGAGCGGAGCTCCGGCAGTAAAGAGCCCAGGGGGTGGGCACAGGCAACAAGCCCCGCCCCCTGCTCCCAGCAGTCCTTAGTCAGAGCAAGAAGCAGCCTGGTAAGTTGCAGAGCTCCCCCCGCCCCCCAATCCAAAGTACACCAGGGGCCCCTTTCAGA